ATGGAAATTTTCATTCCTGATCACTGTAGTCACAGGACAAATAACTGTACGACACTATAGGATAAGATCTTGAAAAATAAATTTTTTGTAACTACCAAAAATATCTGTAAGGTGCATATACATATATTATTTAGTTTTAAAAATGTTTTAATCTGAGCAATTCTGCAAAATATTCAATAAATACATGCCATTTTGTTCAAGAATGATAAAAAATCTAACTCTTCCTTACCAGTTTTCAGGCAGAGTATAAATATTAGCAAGTTAATTAAATACATGCCATTTTGTTCAAGAATGATAAAAAATCTAACTCTTCCTTACCAGTTTTCAGGCAGAGTATAAATATTAGCAAGTTAATATTTTGATTTTTGACTGCAAACTCTATAATACTGTTACTCCGTGCAACAATATCACTTAAAACACATTTTTCATGTGCACAATTTTTTTCCATTATAAAAGTAACAAAATGTCTAGTCAAAAACTTCTCTACATTTGTTCCTTTCAGTAAAGTGGCTTGCGAATAGTAGGGATAAACATGTGTATATAATTCCATCAAATGTTATTTCTTGTATTGAGCACATACAGCTATAAATTTATAAACGTAACTGTGAGGTAGAATAAATAAATCACTTATATTATCACTTTGTAAATTATAATTTATATAAGATGTTCATATACAGTCAAAAGTCTTTAATCCGGATTCGTCGGGACTTCGATTCCGGATTATCGGTTTTGCCGGATTATACGCCATCAGTTTAAATCTGGTAAGATAGCATGCAGAAATTATAAAATTAAAAATATGAAACCGTAATTTATGAAAAAAGAGCAATTATGATCTAAAGGGTATCAAAATTTACAAAAAAAAAAAGCTTAATATTTATTTGTTTACTTTATTAAACATTTCTTTCAACACGCGCATGCGTAAAGCATACATTACGCATAGTCGAAATTAGAAAATTGCAACCAAAAAACTATTTGATGTGTATTCGTGATATTTATAATGATGAGGAATTTGATTTAAGCCATATCATAGACGGAGTACATTAAGATGAAATACTACATTTAGTAAGGAATTATTAGCCGAATAAAATAAAAACACCTCTCCTGAAGATAAGGATAGTGCTGACAGATCAACTTCCAGTTCATTGCGTGCCGCGACGCTCTCCCCCAGAGCAGCGTGAAATTGATAAACAGATTTCGGAATGGTTAGAAAAACAAAGGACATGCCTTTATCGATTTTTTTGCAGCAGTTCCACTTTTTGTTTGATGGACATCGAAATAATAATGTATATAATATTGAAATAATGTATATAATAATTTAATTAAATGTATCTAATACACCTTATTTACTTTGCACTTTTAGTCTGAATATTATCTTTTCTGTCCTAATATGCGCAAAATCCTAAAATCCGCAGAACCTCTGGTCCTCAGCTTTGAGGATTTCTGAACTTCTACTGTAGTTTGTGGGAACCAACGTATTATTTCGTATTAATCGATATTTCATCCAACGCATTTTCACATTAAACGTATTTCACTGTATTATAAGAACTGTTGCGTAAAACACTTCTTAAAAACACTTGGAAAATCATTGTTTGAAATATTTTACCTTACTTCTGAAAAGTTGAGTATATCTTAAACCATTGCTTGGAAAATATATGAACTATTAGATCAATACCAAATAATTCAAGGAGGTGGTACTACTCTTTTGTTTATTACAGTAAATAAATAAAATTTAAAGCATGCATTTAAGATGCAATGAAATAACGAAACTTTTTCCTTCGGTTTTGCATACAGCTAAAAATCGGAAAAAGGCCAGTTTTTGATTTCAGAATACCTTGTATATTTTTCCTTCTTCAAATCTAAAATAGGCGTATTTTATATTCAGTGATACTCCGTAAACATGTCAATCCTTTCTTCTCGAAAGATAATAATTTTTAGTTAGATAAACAACTGGTTCATGTAAAAAATCTTTTTTGAGTAATTACGCTCAAATCATTGCTTTTCTGAATTAAACAGCGAGCCTAAGTGTATATGTATATAATATGTAACTGCACTTACCTTTTTTATGTAGAATTTCAGTAACAACAAGCAGTCAGAAAAAAAAATTATGTTGAAAAAAAGATAAATGTTGCACAAATTACTACCATTGCAACAGTAGACTCAAGATAAGGACTAAGCAATTTGTCGACTTGCATCTATGGCACTCGCTTGTACTCTTACATATGCATCGGCATCACATATTTTCGTTCACCTAGATTTACAAGATCAGCTCAACTTATATGTCAAAAACTGTAAAAAGCATTAACTGATAAAAATAAAAGCGATATAAATATCTATAGATCTTTTATACATGAACTGCAGCTTTTGCAACAATTTGCAGGAAATATAGCATTACCGGTTGAAACTCTAACATTGTCAACAATATAGCGGTATGTAAAAGTGTATTTTGGATATATCCCTAGATATCAACCCCAAAGCATTTTTTGTGCCCTTTTCTAATCATAGTTTGAACCTTGTCGTTCGCAGCGTAAACAATGCTGCGAACAACAGTTTATTGAGTGCAAACTTATTAGATATCTAAATTAAAGTTTTTAAAAATTTTAAGATAATAAAATTAGTAAACAATGCTGCGAACAACAGTTTATTGAGTGCAAACTTTTTAGATATCTAAATTAATGTTTTTAAAAATTTTAAGATAATAAAATTAGTATTCAGCAATATATTTGATATCCAATTTCGTTTTGCTTGCAGCTTAATCATGACGAAGATTAGGTGCGAAATTGGGAGACAGTGCAGAATCGCCCACTGCTTGCCGAGTTTTTAAGAATTGCACATACACGGTATCCATGTACACGTCGTTCAATTTTCACTTAAAAAAAACATCCCAGAAATGCACAAAAATCGCACTGCACACACTCTTGACTTTATCCATGTACACTGCTAAAGTCCTAGCTAGTAACCTTTATCGCCTTACCAAGATATCGCCAAACTACCTGTTACCATATTGCAAAGATTAGCCAAGGTTTTCTCTTGTGTCAGTAAGCATATGAATTCTTAAAGAACTCCTATGTCTAAATGACCTTTTACATACTTGACATAAATGACGTTTTTCTCCTGTGTGAATAAGCATATGGCTTTTTAAAGCACACCACACACTAAATGACATCTTACATACTTCACACACGAGTTTTCTTTCCTACATGAATAAGCATATGAGAAGTCAAAGAATCCTTGAGGCTAAATGACTTATTACATACTTCACACACATGAGGTTTCTCTCCTGTGTGAATAAACATATGTCTTTTTAAAGAAGACTTGTGACTAAATGACTTCTGACAAACTTCACACACATGTGGTTTCTCTCCTGTGTGAATAAGCTTATGACTCTTTAAATGAAACTTCTTTCTAAATGATTTCTTACATATTTCACATACATGAGTTCTTTCTCCTGTGTGAATAAGCATATGATCATCTAAACTACACTTATGACTAAATGACTTCTTACATACTTCACACATATAAGGTTTCTCTCCTCTGTGAATAAGCATATGACTCTTCAAATTACCCCTGTGTCTATATGACTTCTTGCATACTTCACACACATAAGATTTCTCAGTCGTGTGTGAATAAGCATATGCCTATTTAAATAATTCTTCTGACTAAACGATATCGTACATACTTCACACACATGAGGTTTTTCTCCTGTGTGAATAAGCAAATGAGTGGCTAAAGTACCCTTCTGAGTAAATGACTTATTACATACTTCACACACATGAAGTTTCTCTCCTGTGTGAATAAGCATATGTGATTTTAAACCAAACCTTTGACTAAATGCCCTCTGACAAACTTCACACACATGAGGTTTCTCTCCTGTGTGAATCAGCATATGATTCTTTAAATAATATTTATGTGTAAATGACTTCATACATACTTCACACATATAAGGTTTCTCTCCTGTGTGAATAAGCATATGCCTTTTTAAACTAAATTTCCGAATAAATGACATATTACATACTTCACACACATATGAAGGCATGTCTCCTCTGTTATTTAGCGTATGCCTACTTAAATTGGTGTTTGTTAACTTGGCGGTTTGTCTCCTGTATGAAAAAGCAAATGCTAGTCTAAATTAATCATTTAACTAAATGTCTTCTTACGCACTTAAATCACATCAGGCTTCTCTCCTATGAAAATTAGCATATGCATGTTTAAATTACGTTTTCTGTTAAATAAACTCTTAAATTTCAGACACATGAGGTTTGTGTTCCGTAAGGATCTCTGCATGTGTTATTTTAAACACTGGCTCTTAAAAATGATTTGTTACACATCTCCCAGAACATACAACTCTGCACTAAATTAGTTACTTTTTTTACTAGAAATTTAATATACAATTTATTTCACTTTACGAACCATAAAGACAACGCCTTATCACCCACTTACCAACTACTTCCTTTGCTCTACTATACCGTTTGGAGGCAGTCCTTATCGATGAAAAGATTGGCACCGTCGCGGACTTACAAAGGTAAGGGAGCGCTAATTTCAACTCGGCAGGAAAATTTGATTGGTCAACGGTACACGTCACATGTGACGTCAAAAGCGGGGTGTTTTAGATTTACCCCACAGGATTACCTGCCATTTTCGGTTGCTTGTTTTCTGAGCTCTGCAGTGATATTTTTTGGCGAGCTAAAAGTGTTTTTTGATAAAATATTTTAATTGGTAATTTAGGTATTGTTTGCTTGTAATTAAACACGTGATTACAAATTATTGTAAAGTATTTATTTTTGAGACAAACTTTTTGTAATCTATTTATTTTTCATATATTGCCTTTTGAGAACAGATAAATTTAGCGGAAATTTCCTTTGTTGAACAAAGGAAAATGAAAAATGTTTCAGAATAGCAAGCCGTGTTAGTTTCAGTCAAACATTGTCAAACATTAAATATTTTTTAATATCATATGCTACCATTTTTTGTTTGTTTATTATTCATTTTTAATATATCTGATGACAAAATAAGTTTTTTATTTTCTATTGTAGTACATAACTTTTTGTTATAACAATGGAATATGAAAAGATAGCAGTATTTGAATGTATGTACTGCTGCAAAAAGTACAAAAAGAAAAAGGTTTTATATGAACACATTCGGGAAGTACATAAAGTACCTGTTGTGGCTGAAGGAAATTTGAAATGTCCTATTAATGCCTGCAATTTTTCATGTAGAACGTTTGAAGAGTTAAGAAATCACGCAAGAGATCAACATGGATACACTCTTAACTCCGTTGAAATGACATTTAATACATATGAAGGTAAGATATTAGAAATTTGCATTTTCTGCGATAAACGTTTTTAATTTGAATAGCCCCAAACTGAGTACAAATTACTATTTTTGCAAATTCATTCATCAAGCTTGGGGAATAAAATACATCTATTTTTGTGAGTATAATTGATAACAGAATAATTTCCTTAGCATCTTGCTTTTTTCTGTTAGCCTGATAAACCCCCATTATTCTTCAGTAAAAATAAAATAATTTCAAAGTAAGTAATATTTCTCTTCCTCAACTATTTGAAATATGAAGTAAACATTTTCTAAATAATAAAAACATATATAGAGATGTACTGCTACATAATTATTTATACATGTAATTCAGTGCTTCATTAAAAAAAAAAAAAGACTATCCTGTTATTACACAAACGGATCTCTTAATGCATATGTATGATGAAGATATCAAAAATAATGTGGACCTAATAAAAAAATTGTTAAAATCTTTATTAAAGTGGCAACCTTCAATCGTAAGTTTAGTATCATAATGATAGACACTTATTTTATTATATGTAAATGAGGCTTAAAATTTATTATATGTTATTTTAAAACTACTTAAAGAAATTTATTCGAATGTCTTAAAATTTTAATAACCTATACACATTGTATCAGTTATCAAGAAACAGGCTACAATGTTTTTTTACTTTAGACATAGGCCAGATGACACTCATGTTATGGAAAATGTCTGATGACAATTTGTCTCTTAAGAATAAATTTCTTGCATTATTATACAACTTTGGGGAATATGTTTTAAGTCTTGTTTAGCTGGAACACGAGTACTAGTAACTGTCAAATAGGAAGAAAAAATATGCCAATGTACAACTTAAAATGTCGTAGCTTTCGCAACTTTACTCTTGCAGTGTAGATTTTAAATAAAACTATCAGTTTTGAGAGCAATTAGACACAGGTCCCTCTTCTTGAAGAGAAAAAAATTCTGCTAAAGTGACCAGTATCTATTTACAATCAGTGCCAAAATAAGGTTGTTGTTTTGGCTAGTTTTAAATTAGTAATTGTGTTTTAAAGATTCACTAGTTCACAATTATAATGGGCTTTTATATTGTATGTAGGCTAATGTTTACCCTTCAAATTTAGATTTCTTACAATGGAAAAGTGAGGAAGAACGAAGGGAAAAAATTTCTTACTTTTTGAGAAGTACAATAACTCTTAAAGAAGGTGGGAAAAAGAGTTACTTCCTTTGTAATTGATCTGGATTTTATAATTCTAAAAGTAAAGGTGTAAGAGCTATAAAATCACAAGGTACCTGCAAAATAGAGGGGCACTGTCCATCTACTATTGAAGTTACCAGTAATGGCATTATTAAGATTTTATATTTCCAAACACACGTGGGACACACAGTAGATCTAGAACATTTGCCATTAACAAAAGATTTGCGAGAAGTGATTGCAGGTAAGTTTCTTTATGAACTTGATTGTGAAATTCAATATAAAACAGACATTATTATACAACATTATCATATAAATGCAATATTTTCAGGTAAGTTAAATGAAGGCATTCCACCACAGAAAATATTAGATTCCACAAGGAATAGTATTAAAGAAGACATTTACAGGGAGCATTTATTGACAAAAAAAGACATACATAACATTTCTAATTCTTACTGTATTGGTAATGATGAACAATATCATCCAACTGATGCTGTCAGTTTAAGGATCTGGATAGAAAAAATGAAATGTTTAGATGATAATCCAGTTCTTTTTGTAAAATTCCAAGGAGAAGCAGCAGATCAGCACTTGGAAATTAGTGACTTCTGCATCATCATAATGACAAATGTTCAAAAGCATATGCTTTTAAAGTTTGGATCCGATAGCATATGCATCGATAGCACACATGGGACTAATGCTTACGATTTTCAATTATCGACAGTTTTAGTCATAGACGAGTTTAATTCAGGATTTCCTGCTGCTTTTTGCCTAAGCAATAGAGTAAATTTAGGTTCAATGCAAAAATTTTTTCAGTGTATTAGGGACAAAGTTGGACTGCTGTCTGTAAACTGCTTTATGAGTGATGATGCACCAGTATATTATACTGCATGGACATCAGTAATGTGTGATGCCAAATTTAGGATTCTATGCACCTGGCACGTTAAAAAGGCATGGCTGCAAGCAGCAAATTCAATTATCCCCTCAAAGCGAAAGGAAGTTTTGAAATTTTTAAATGTAGTATCTGAATGTCATGATATAAAAGAATTTGAAGCACTGATATCTGATTTCCTCAGCAAACTCTTTGCTGATAGAGATACAGACAAGTTTGCTAATTATTTTGCTTCAAATTATGCAAACAGATGTGAGTTGTGGGCTAAATGTTATAGAAAAAGATGTAACATCACAACTAACAATCATCTTGAAGCACTGCATCGAGTTTTAAAATATTCTTCTTATCTTGATGGATTGAAAAACAAGAGGGTTGATAGGTGCATTGCGAAGCTTATTAATATGGCAAGATGCAAATGATAAGGTTCCAGAGATTTATCAAAACAACAAAAGGGCCAAACACATCAAAGATCAAACACAAACAAATTTACGAACACAACAAGCAATACAGCTAATAATATCACAGAAATCAATGATTTCAGTTTTCTTGGCAATGTGATTTCAGAAAGAAGACCTCTACTCTTGACATACACAAATACATACACATTGCATTAATTGTGCAACATTTATCAAGTGCATTGTAAATGCAACATTGTTTTCATAAATGCACTGTATACGCAAATACATTGCATTGTAACATTGAAATGCAAAATTTGTAACGATGCATTTGTATGCACATGCACAGATGCCACGATTAAAGGAAGTGTCTGTAAACATATACATGCAATAATTTTAAAGACAAGATTACCTTAATAGAGAACAGTCAGCTAAAACTAAAGAATCAAATGATGTAAAATCCTTTCTTGATCTATCAGCACAAAAATTTAAAAAATCAGGAACCAAGCACCATATTATAGATCAACTGAGTATCATATCAAAACTTGTAACATCAACAACAGTAAATAATATAACTTTGGGAGATATTGAAAACACACTGAATAAAGTGATTACAAAATTAAAGAACGAAAAGCCGAAATTGAAAATGGTGAACTATGAACCTACAAATAAAAAAGCAGAGAAACAAAAGAATTTCTTTTCTACGAGAAAGAAAAGAAAAAGTCCATGCAGTACTGAAAATATTGCAACAACTTCATACAAGAAAGCTGCTATAGATGCCATTGGAAATAATGAAACTCTTATAATTCATGATTCTTTTGATCATGTATATTGATATCTCATCATGTAAATATATTGTATATAAAATAATCTCTAAATAGTTTATAAATTAAAATATGATGAATTAAAAACAGTATATAAATTTAAAATGCTCTTAATCTTGTCACTACTTCATCCTTGCTAGTTACACAAGTAATTTATTAATCAGTTTTTGATCTGCATATTCTGTCGCAGTATTTCACTACTAAATTATTAGTGTAAAGTTCTCCAGTTGATGGTACACATACAGTACAGTTAGCAACATCATTTTACAAAACATCGACATATAACGTGTTTGATTAACACATTGGCATTAAATCTCAAAGAGCCAAGCACATTATGCAGTTAATTCGTTCAATAGGCTAACATTAAATAGGGAGAAAGGCAAATCGCACTCATTTATAGAAGTTACGTAATAGGCTGGAATGATCTCGAAAGTACTGGTTTAGGGGGAGGATCCTGAAATTGCAGAAAGTTAATTAAAGGTTGCGTGTTCGCATAGAGCAAAGCCATTGTTTTTTATATTTTACATCATCTTCCCCTCAAAAAGAAGAAGCCGGGCGAGCAAAGGATTAGTAGATTAGTGTAGCATGAAGTATGAGAAAAGACATGAAGAAAGACATCCAGAACATAGCTTATAGGCTTTAACTATGCCCTTTCATAAACCCTGATCTTAATTATGTGAAAAATATAAAAGGTCAAGATCAGGAAAATAATTTGTCATAGTTAGGGTTTAGATCTAAATCAGGTATTAAAAGGTCATAATCAAGAAAACATTCAATAGAGAATTTTGAAAAATTAAATTAATTTTGGGCAGACATTAGGAATTCTACTGGTTCTAACAGTTAATTTAAATTCACTAGCTGGATTCAAATGTCTTAGTCTAGTTGAATAAACAATTTCTGATTTTAGTTAGAGGATTAGGTTTATCAATTGCATAAATAGCTTCAGATTATTGTTTTAGAATTTTGTAATGTCCTGAAAATGGAGGAGAAAGTTTATGTGCATTATGATATTGAAAATTTTCATACATTACTAAATCACCTATTTTAAAATTACTAGGTTTATAATGAGTATCATATCCTTCTTTATTTGCATTATGATAATTATCAGATCTTTTTTTAGCTATTTTCTAGCTTTTATTGGTGGACATAAATGATGAAACATAATGCTGCTATCTATTGCTTGAATAGTTTTGAATAAAGAAATATTTTTTCAGGGAAAAGATTTTGCTTAAAAAATATTCATAATATTATAATTTTTCTGCCAAAAATAATCACCTCTCATCATACTTCAATATCATCAAACAGATTTGAAGGTAAAAGTGACTTTCTGTGTTCCCATACAATATCTCACTTTTTAACTTACGGAGGCAGGATATGATAATAAAACAAATACTACTGCATAAGTCATTTAAGCAATTAGTTTCTATATTGTTTCTATTCAGAGTCTGTAGACAGTTATATATATTTATAAAGAAATACCTAGAGTTATTTTTATTATAATTTTGTATTATTCCCCCTCCTTCTTTTCAATATTAAATATTAATTAGAAGTTGAGAGAGTCAACTGTATGTTTTACAAATCAAGTACACAATATTAAATCAAAAAGGTCAAAATTTTTCATGCCTTTATATATAAATTTCATTCTGTCTAAGAGTTTTAAAGCAAACTGCATACATAATTTTGCTCTAGAACCAAAATTATGATAAAAAAATAGTTGTAAACTTCTGTTTTTTTAAAGAACAGGGTGGTTTGTTTACATTTGCTTTTCAGCAAACTCCTCTTATCAAATTCCCTGAACACTCACTCTCCTTATAGATATAATGCTTCTATATGCAATTTTATAAAAATATTTACCTACACATGATCAAATGTTACAAAAAGTTTTAAGATTATTTTGTTTTTTAATTTTCTTTCAGAAGAATGCGAGTTTAGTGCTTGTATGCATGATTTATGTAAATTTGTTGATTAGAATTCAAGGAATTCTCATTATTTGTGTAAACTCCGTATCTGTATAAAATGGTCAATTATTAGGAATTTAAAACAAGAACAATACTCAGATATATTTATAGTTTATTTTGTAGAAATTTTTAAATATCTATTGAAGAATGACAGCTATTACTTAATAAACGAAATAATAATAATAAAAACCCTTCTCTTTGTCATTCTAGCTTTATATGAAAAAACAAATAACTCTTCTATAATCAACATAAATGTAAAGATACATTTCTTCACGACTGGTCCGAAAGCGCAGAAATCTTAAATGTGTCTCTGCGCAACTAGTACGTCACTTAGTGTTTCTACGGTGTATGAGCTAACCGGAATAAAATTGGACGGGTAGACATAACTATTTTTTCAGTACCTCAGGAACAGCAGCCTACTTTGATTGCCTCCCTTCTGACGCTTTTTAAAACCCGAACATGAGTCACCAACAGCCCTTAATTTGAAAACTGCCCTGTAATGTTTAAAAATATTTTTGCATTAGTAGATATTTCAGATATGCTTTAGAAGTATTTGAATTTTGACAAAGCATTAAGTTATATGAATTTTATAAAATGCAAGTTAGAAGACATCTAATTTTAATTCTAGGAATTCAATATAATCCATTTTTTTTGCTTGGCTACTTTTTTTTATTCTGCATCTTTTTTTTACTAAATTAATGTAAAACTAGAATTTAAAATACTGAGGTTAAATGCAGCATTTGATGAATAGAAAAAAATGAATGGTTATTAAAATACAGGGTGTTTATAAAGTCCCTGACCCAATTTGATGTTTAATAACTCATAAAATAATGGATTCAAATTAATAACATAAATGGTTAGATAGACTCAAAAAGTTTCATGATCCTTGTCAATGAATTTCTACGTGTGCTCCCTTCGTTGCACAGAGAATATCAAGTCGATATTCAATTTCACGCCATGTACCGCCAAGCATTTTAGCATCCACAGATGCTATTGCAGTTGTAATTCTGGCTTTTAGGTCATCAATGTTTGACACTCTCCTCCTGTAAACATTGTCCTTTACAAATCCCCAAAGGAAAAAGTCCAGCGGCATTATATGAAGTGATCTGGGTGACTAAGGAATTGGACCTCCTTGCCCAATCCATCTTCCTGTAAAATGGTCATTCAAACAACTACGAACGATGGTACCCCAATGAGGTGGTGCACCATCTTGTTGCAAAAAGACAAGTGGCTAAAGCACCAGTTGTGCAAATATGAAGTTTTCCAACATGTCTAAGTATACGACAGATGAAACCGTGTTTTCTGTAAGAAAGAAAGTCCCAATGACTTAGCCGTGCATTAGTTCACACCAAGCATTAGTTCAAACCAATGGTGCATTAGCTCACACCATTTTTTCAAACATTAACCTTTGGGGAAGCCCTTTGTGCCTCACAGTATTTCACGGGGATTTTCAGATCCCCATATGCGCGCATTATGGCGATTACAATGCTAGAAAGATGAAAGGATGCTTCGTTGGAGAACATTATGCCCTTCAGAAATTCAACATCATCTTCTATCCTCCTTAGCATATCTGTTGCAAAGGCCTATCTCTTAGGCCTATCGTCCAGTTCCTAAACTTCAGCAATTTCAACTTTGTATCATGCAGTCTTAATTTCCTTGTAATAACCTTGTACACTGTCGAAATTGGCATATCCAATTCTCTTGCCGCTGATCTCGCAGATCTTCTAGGATTGTGTAAAAATGTCTCTCTGACACGCTCAACAACCTGAAAAGGAAAATATACAAGTTGTTTCCATCGATAAATGCCATAAGTTTGTTTATATCTTCATTATTTTATGAGTTATTAAACATCAAATTGGGTCCGGGATTTTATAAACACCCTGTACATTTAGCATATTTTTTTAATTAGCTCGACACTTTATGCCAAGCAGAAATGTTTGTGCAATATCTAACTTGTGATATGAATGGCATCCCTAACAATAAACATAACTTGAAAAAGTTAAATATTTTATTAAATGCAAAACTAATAGAAAAATTTACAAATAAAAAAATTATAAATTAGATTTACCCCATTAATTTCAGATTACACAAAAAGCATAAAACTGCTGATTTTGTTTGCAAAAAAAAAAAAAAAAAAATCGTATCTCCTGTTGCAACCCATTCCACATGAACTCAAACGAGTAAAACGTTTCGGTAGCAATGGACAATTCTGTTTTAGGCATTTTACATTAGAAAATTCTGC